CTCCTCAGGCTCGTATAAGACTCACCTAGACTCGTTTATTCTGTGTTTAACCGACCCTTTTATGAAGACAATTCCAAAACAATTCCAAAACAATTCCAAAACAATCCCAAAACAATTCCAAAACAATTCCAAAACAATTCCAAAAACAATTCCAAACAATCCAAAACAATTCCAACACAATTCCAAAAACAATTCCAGTCCCTCCATATATCAAACAATTCCAAAACAATTCCATTACCAAACAATTCCAAAAAAATTCCAAAAAAATTCCAAAACAATCCCGAAACTATTCCAACCCCTCCATCTATCCAAGGTCAGGCTCGCTCAGGCTCACTCAGGCTCGCTCAGGCTCGCTCAGGCTCGCCTAAGACTCGTGTAAGACGAACCTTATGTGAGTTTATGTGACTTTTTCACGAGCCTGAGCGAGCCTGAGGCGAGCCTAGGCGAGCCTGAGACAGCCTAAGGGACCCCCTCACATTTCTGGAGGTCTTTAACCCCAATATCTTCCGTTTAAGGTAGACCAGTCCATGTTATGTACCGTCACTGTTGTTTTCTTAAAAGATTCGGGGTCCACGTTTTTTTTTCATTTCAAGGAATACTGGTCCAGTTTCATTAACTTTTAGGTACATGTAGTAGTTTATGATGGGTATTTTTGGGAGGATGTATGTTTTTCTACCTGAACTTAGTATAAAGGAACTCTGTTGGAAAAAAACCCACCGCCACTTTCACAGTAAACTTTGGGCAAAGGTAATCTTCCTAATCGGCTCCCTACTATGAGTGATACGCTACGTCTACTTATACATAAATTATGTTGTGGACCCAGCAATCCTAGACTCCAATTGTTTCAAATACAACCTGGTCCACTATCTTATCTAGGACATGATCAGCTTGCCTTCCCCTGGTTTCGAACAACTACGGGCATATGGAGGGCCGCTACCATATCCAGGTTTACTTGGACTGTCTATAGGTTCCGGATGCTTCGGACCACATGGACCCAACCTCCATCTCCCTCGACTTCACCGTCTTAACTACATCCCTCTACCATACGGTCCACTTCCTTTAGGTCATTCTTCGCCGCACAACATTGAACATTGACCTTATGCCACTTCACGAAGGCGGAAGGTACTGGGTTGGTGATCGAACTCCTTAATTGAATGGTGAGGACCCAGACCGTGCGTTAAACGAAGGTGGGGTAAAACGAGAATTCGGGTGAAAATATTGTTTCCTGGGACGTCGCTGCTACGGTCTACGGACGTGGCCTTTGCTAGAGTTGTCCTGAACACCATTATGCTTATCCCATTGGGTACGCATACTTCCGCGGAGGTTCTTGCGGAGGATGAGCCTACTCTTCCACCTCCTTCCAGCAACAAGCAACCACATCACACTATACGTCTCCAGCTCAAGTTTAATCTTTTTCTAAGGTCTCCAAGGAGCCAGTACAACATGCATAGAGTGCACATATTACATATTGTTACATAACTAATCACGCATCTCCCAAGCAAGCTCCGCACTAACCCTGTTACACCTCCTTTATGACCTTGCGCTAGTCTAGATTAACTGCCAATTACTATCAAAGTGCCAAAATGTTCCCAATTTGACTGAAAACAGGCAACGAAGCTTTCTCAGCTGAGTCAGCTCACTAACATATTATACACCCTTCACCCCTGGTTATCTCTTAAGCCATTGCTATACTCTTTTAAAGTAAAGATACTAAAGTCAAGTCGACCCCTTTTAGATTTACCAGTACTGTTGGATACAAATACCTCTTGTTTGGTATACTATCTCTTGTGTGGGTAGTGGGCAAATTCAATTGACGGTCTCATGGCCTATAAGACGTTCGTGAAAGTCGGCGAAGTAAAAAAACGTGCTCGAATTTATTTCGAAAAAGAGCCGCCTCGTTGGTCAGCTTGTCTGGCGCTCTCAACGCACCGGCTCGGTAACGAACCGAACGTCTATCACGATGACTTTCGAGTGACTCTTATAATTAAATCTTATGTTGCGGTCCTTTCTTACGTTTTATGAATGAAGTCTCGCCACCGAATAGGTTCTACTTTCAGTGCTTTGGGTGGTGAGTTTTCGTAGCTAGTGGGTATCCGATATCGTAGGAGGGTTCAGCTTGTGAATTTAGATAAGTTGTTGCAGCCGTGATGTGAACCCCCGCTCTCATGTGGTGAGTGTGGGTGTGCCGTACCGGTGTTGGTTTAGTTATAAGTACAAATTTTTGAAACTGCGGCTGCCCACTAATAGGTACGACTTGAGTTTCAGCCCAGGCGATGTCTCTTAAAGGTCATACTGTATATGCTGGTCGTACTTACGGTCGGCATTACAGTGTTTGGCCGCTCTGAGACTTGCTCGGAACATGCAGCTTCCAATGTCCGTAAGTTCAAGAGCCCTTGCATAGCTTAAATCGGTTTCCACATCGTTTCCACATCATAGCTCAAATAGCTCGTTCCTTCGGAGAAGACTTCCTCATCTACTGTAATAACTCCGGATCTATTGATCTCTCTAACATTTCTTTTGACTCGCTACGTTCCTTGCCAAGGATGGTCAGCATTCATAATATACTCTCCTTTACCCACGGTCACGAGTGCCAACGTTGCACAAGAATCACAAGAGGGTCGCTCGAAGAAGAGCATGTTTTGAGAAGAAGGTAGAAGAGATTAAGGTTAGATTGCGTACTATCTAACACGTGACGGCTTCTATCTTACGCATCTCAACATTAACGTCCACTAAGGCTGCGTCCGTCTTAGTGCAATGAGGCGACTACTATTCAGGGACTCCACTCGGAATCTGCTCGGACTCCTCGGACTCCACTCAGAATTTGCTCGGAATCCCTGGGGGACTGTAAATTACTGAATTTCTGACTTGTGGCTGCAAAACATTTATTTCAGATGTTGGAAATTTGGAAGAAGCAACTGATGATGTCTTTTTTCTCTCTTGGATTTGAAGACAAGGATTATTGTGCATTCAGGCTCAAGGAAAGCTGACATGGTTCACATTGCATGTCAAGATATTTGCAATGACAGTTGCATCCACTGCCATCCAAAATCGTAGATGCTCATGCTTTCTTTTCCACTGGCATTTAATAGAACATATACGCGTTCCCGACAATCTATTATGGGAATATCTTCTCACTAGGATCTATAACCGCACAAAGGACTCACTGAAAATTGAGGGCACCATCTGCTGTGATTTCGAAGGGAAATTCAATTGAAATACAGATTATCATCTGTTCTGCTAGTAGATACTTTCTTAACGCCCAAAAATTGACTATGCGACGCAAGAGGTTTATGTTGTCTGATTTATTTTTTATATGAGAGGGACGCAGATAAGTCGTTAGACCGATGCAAGGTTATTTGCCTTGGCATGCCTAATAAGATTACGCTGCTAGTCGACGAAAGGCAATATGGCATACAACTAACAATCAATTGTCTCTGAATGGTCCGGTTTTGAATTTGAAGAGGTTAAGAACTAGCCTCAAGTGATCCCGGTGAAAAATATATAGTTTGGTCCACATCCTGGCGAACATTGAACAGAAACAAAAACTCGGAAATGTCAATATCAAGATAAATGGATGTGTAAAAGACTGACCCCCACCCGAGTCGAACGGATGACCTTGTGGAAGTTCTACAAACTGGAATCACACGCTCTAATCCACTGAGCTAGGGGGCCTACTCCGGAATGTGTTAAAAATGGCTGCCGAGTACACACAGACAATCATCCCGAGTATCTGTCGATATTCAAGAGTTATATGATGATTCTGCTACTAACGTGTTCATATATAACATGATCAGTGCAGTGTGCAGTGTACTGAAAGTTGGATTTTGAGTCAAAGAGTCACATGATTAAGGTTATCATGTTCTCGATTGGGAGGTGGCGCAGCTTCGGACTTAAGAACCATCGCCAGAACAGCTTCAACCTGAGATTCATGGATGGGTGAGCCTGACATGACAAGTGAAGTGACACGAGAAATTAATTGATAATATAATAGCCGAGTACTTACGCGTCACGCCACAGAGGGCCACAGGCCCAGAGTAATGTTCACTTTGTACGATTTTGGTCAATGATTCTTCCAATACTTTCTACATTTTAAAATATCTTGATGATAAATATCGAACTAAAAAAAGATGGGGTGCTATTATGTGTCAGATGACCAACGCCGCCATAGCGAAATGAAACTTTCAAAGGCCAAGGCTGTGAAATGGGCCGCACAAACTGCACCTAAAGGCAGTGCTCAGTTACATGTCAGCAGCCTCAACTCCGTTGAATCTGTCCCAGGAATTTAGAGTTGTGACAGACGTCTCCTCTTTATTATAAATAAACAACAGCCCGCGTGGAAGATTGGAATTTGTGGGACAACTTGAATAGTAACACACGTTTCACTACAAGTACCGAGTAGCCACTGCCACTTGGAGAGATACTGTCAAAAAACAGATAAACCTGGGGTTATTGTATTAGTATAAATCATATTGGCGGTAGTCTTAAAGCTGCCTATCCTCTGCAACAAGCCTCATACGATTAGGACTCCGACAAAAGGAGATGTCTGGGAAACGGCCATTCCATCTTGGCATCACACAACGATCACGACTACCGTACAAAGAGACAAAGAGACTGTTCTACCAGAAAATGCTTTATCAGACGAAGTTTAATCGGAAAAAAAACCATGTGCTGCCTTAGTTCAAGGGTCCTTAAAGACTAGTAGAAGTAGACAAAATTTCTCACAGGAAGTTTAGAAAGCATTAAAAGAGTGTATGCATTAAAATCTTGAAAAGAAGAACCTCATATGGTTGGAAACAGAACAGAGAACGTGGTGAATACATTAACTTGGATGTCGAGACTCGACAGTCGTTCACATCAATGAGATAGGGGTACTTAGGCAGTGCGTAGCCTCAGGATAAATATGTCTTCCTTCTTCAGGGTTCAAAAAAACTTGAAACCGTGACACAAAGGAGCACAAAGGTGATAGAATTTATGGGGAGCAGCATCTACCGAAAGATACTAAGTATTAGGAGTTTATTGATACACGTATTGGTTACGCCGTTCTATAAGCAGATCTCCCCGGAGTTTCAAGGTTGAAACCTCCATCTAGTTATGACTTTGATGACACTCGTATCCAGGCTTTTTTTGTTGAGGTTGACGTTCCTCGTGGTTACGCCTTACGAGAAGGGGACGCGTCCCCGGCAAACTCCATAGCTCCATATCTTACACGGTAGTTAATCTACCAGACGATGGGTACCAGAATACTTGTAAAGATGATTATGTCTATGGTGACAACCATGCTAGTTTTGATAGAATCATTTCTGAGAGGAAGCTTCGACCACAACAAGTACGAAAGTATAACTCGAAACACTTCCTGATCAAGTGTGGGTCAAGCCCGAGTCTCACAGTTCTCTCACTTGATGCAGCAAAAACATGTTGAGCCTGATTCCGCAATAAAAATATTGTGTTCCACAGATTTAATTCAAGTTTATGAACTGCCGCCTGGTAGTTGCATCGTTTAGTGGCTGACCAGTCGAGAGCCATTTCCTAGTAATCTACTAAACTCCTACTCATACCTGCAATATTATTCATTATTCATCTGATCTAAAAACAACGCCACTGTGCCACGTGGTAAGATTTTGATACGGCTTCTTTCGGCAACTCAAAAATGTTTAGATCAGATCTTCCAAGCAGATCTTGTACGAAAGCAACTTGGTGCAAATTATTATCTAGCCTGGTCGACCTCTCTATCAATTAATTGCCTGGATACAATAATATTCAGCTAGTCACTAGTCATCTACGTCAAGGTTAGAACGAGAACGCAAGGCTCACAAAGGAATAGCTATATCTACATAACGCGAGGCTTAGGAACGGGGCTTCGGTACGAGGCGATGGTAGACCAGACTAAGACCTCGTCATCAGCAGTAAGATTAAACCTGATAAGACCTCTTCGATAGACTACTTACTTACGGTTTGGGGTTGTGTAGGTTCATCAATATCTGATTGATATGAATTTCATCAGATAAGACGCACTCGATCATGGCAATAATGTCCTCTCAACTTCCAACTTTACACTGTATTTGCAGAAGTCTCGGCAACCACCAGAGTTGTATTCCACACCCCAATCTCTGAGGGTGCTCTCGGAGCGATCCATTGGCGCTTCTTCGACGGGTCATGTCTGGGCTTCGCATTTGAATCCTGAGATAAGTATAGAGAGACGGTTATGGAGAATACTAAAAGCAGAAGATATGGATTAGGTTCATTATCCCGAGGTAAGTTTCATTTCAAAACATCTAGAGACACTACCATCAGCTGTGAGAAGTCGTGCAGCGCACATTCCCCATTCACTTTCGTTAATGTGTAGGGTTCCTGATCAATGCTGTCACCTGTTTATTTCACGCCGAATGTTCTGATGGTAATTTGAACGGGCGCTCAGCAGCAACAAGGTTTGACAAATCTGGTACCCGCAAGGTCAATAAATATGCCTTATCGAAAGCTTATTTAAATACTTATTGACGTCGAGACTCTTATAGCTGGAAAATCCCTGCAAATTCGCACTTTTAATTGAGTTGTCGGCGGTCCTGTGCCAGTGCCACCAGCCTTGATGTCCATGATACGGCCCGCAGCGATGATGCAGAAATGATGTATTACTTGACAGATTCTACCTAGAACCATCGATGAGCAATCGTAGTACTAAAAAAAAAAAAGAAGAAAAAATTTCGTACTGCTCGCTGCAAAAAGTAAATCCCCTTCTCGACTGAGGAAGCACCGTATGAATTTGAAATTAATAAACAAAGGCAGAGAGGATTTAAGGAATTATGAACGTCAAATGATATCAGTAGCTATAGCACCGTTGCAAGAAATAAGCTGAGTCAATTGGACACTCTGAACGGTGATAAGGGTGTGACATGAAGCATGATCACGAATTCGAACAGTCCATTTTTTTTCCAATCCAATGCAAGAAAAAGTTAGCACCTAACGAGAAATAAGCATTCTATATGTCAACTCACAAGTCAGATTGTGATATGCCATGATGAGGTAACCCAATGGAATATTTTAGTACGCCACATGCAGGCGTTCGGTGAGGCGATGGCACCAAGAATTAGTCGGGTGCCGTCGACACACATGCATAATTATCGCTTGGCGGGGAGGATGAGGCCCCCTTGGGCTTGGTGTCGACATGAAACTCGAGAGGAATGATTGAGGTCAGTTTCCAAGCCAATAGCTATAGGTAGTAGGTAACGTCACTAAGCCCACAAGGGAAATCAAGATTCCGAGCATAATGGAATTACTGTGAGAAAATGGAGAATACATGCGTGCCTTACTGTTTGGAGGATTTTGAGTCTTAAGTCATTTCGGTGGGGCGTTGCCGTTGTTGTAACCATCACATGAGCCACTCCCCATATTTTTGATGGCTTGGACATGTGCATTCAACGATCTAGACTGTGAGGCGAATCAAGGCAACGAAATAATCTTGATCCTCACAGCTCTGTCGAGATAAATTTTCTGTATACATTGAAAGGGTTGAAAGTAGTCGTTGGGTCCCCCTGTGAGTTCCTCGAGTCCTCGACCTTGATAAAGAGGAAAAGGGAAGAGACAGGCTAAAATATTTCTCTGAAGGGATTGAGAGCGTGAGAAAGGCTATGATTGAGTTTCAGGGTCAACGTCCAATGAGAGCCTGAGACTGGGATCAGCTGCTGAATGAAGATTGAAACGCAGGCAACACCAACCCGTTGAGGGTCACAGAGAAGGTCGTCCGGGTAATTCGGATAGAAGTGAAAATATAAAGATTTTTTATTCGCCTGTTACCTGCATTTCCTAGGGAATAAATAAATAAATAAATACTGAGGAGAAACGACGACGGAAATGGGCTAGGAAGATGAGGGGGAGAAGAACTTGGATTAACCTGCGCCGCGATTGTGATCCAGGGTCCGATACTCGTGGGAGGTTAAGGCCGAAAGGAGATGTTGTAACAAATTGTGACTAGTGTGTGACTTTGAATTGTCCTGACAGTGGAAAGAAAGGGAGGATATGTTTTTTTGTCTCGAGCAAAGGGATCACACCCGACGATACTCCGTTTAGCTCCGGGTTCTCTGCCTGCGTTATATGGCATATTGCTTGTATTAACACCATCACGAAAGGCAGAGATATCGATACATCGCCCATCTCCAATCTGAACAATATTCGTGGAGAGAAAAAAAAAAAAAGAGATCTATATGATCTTCTGATCTTCGAATCAAGCAAGGCATTTTCATAGGATTCTTCTTCACACCCAACTGACGATTTACCGTGGGCCAAGACTTGCAATTTTTCCCCACTCCCCCACCTCGCGTGGCTTTTTGAACAACATACAACATTATTTCTCTTGACTTAATACCACTCCTGCTTTTGTCAATCCCAACCAACTTCCATCATGGTGGCGGGTGCAGACACCGACATATACTCCCCCTTTCAGCCAACCATGATCTCAGAAGAGGGGCCCCAGTCTAGTGAGGAAGGGTCGGGCTTACATTCGCCAGTATTCGGTGCTCCGTACCCTCTACATGCTGACACCTGTAAGTTCTTTCTTGTTATTGCACCCAATTCATCACTTACCTACTTGTATCAATAAGACCGGTATCAACATAACCAACTTGATGTTCAGCACACCACACCTATGATGGTGCCTCACTATGACTATGGTCACAGTTTGA